TTGACTTTCAAATATTTGAGGGCTTTGTTGCAGCGACTCAGGTGTTGGCCATCTAATGGAGCTGTTAATGGTTAACCACGTCAAATATTTTGCCAAATGAGCTCGACTTGGGGCAGTTAATTGTTGCTGACACGATTAAATGGAACCGGATTGATAGAGAGGCACAGCACACAGTAAGCAGTAAGAAGTGCGAGGAAATGAATAGATGATGACAATGGCTCGGTAATGCTCGGCCGCTTATTGTCTTTATTCAACAATTAAAGTCTATTTCATTTAACTTTTCTTTGACGTTGTTCACTTTTGTCTGTCGTGTTGTTACATAAACATAAATCTCGGCAATGGGCCGACAGTCGTCGCACTGCCCAAAAACAAAAACTTGCTGCCAGTGCACATTTTCACACATAGCCGGATTTTTATTAACCATTTTTCATTCGCTTTTACGGAGCAGCAGAGGCGGCCTACGCGGCGACGCTCGACTTTTCGGATCTCGTGGAAGCTTGGTTAAAGCGCAGCCAGCTCATTTGTAGACTCGAATGTCAGCGGTGCACAAGCGCGGAACGGATCTAAGACAGCGGCTGAAAAACCAAAACTCTATCACTCCCCCAGCCAGGACAATACCCACTCATCGCCATGGACTTTGATGAGTTCCGCGAGTTCGGCCACGCCTCCATTGAATTTATTATCAACTATCTGAGCGGTATTCGTGAGAGGTGTGTATTCCGTGTGTTCATCCGTGTGTTCGTTGGTTCGTGTTGGTTATAACAATATCCTATCTTTGGTATCCCGTAGAGATGTCCTGCCCAGCGTGGCTCCGTATAGCGTGATCAATCAGCTGCCCAAGGAAATCCCAGAAAAGCCAGAGCACTGGCGCGAGGTGCTGAAAGATTTGGAGCACATCATCCTACCCGGACTCACACATTGGCAGTCTCCGTACTTCAATGCCTTCTTTCCATCCTCCTCATCGGCAGGATCAATCGTGGGGGAGCTGCTGATTGCGGGCATTGGAGTCTTGGGCTTTAGTTGGGTAAGAGACAGATGAAAATCGATAGATGCAAATCTAAAGTTTGTTTTAAAAGGCTTTTGTATAGTTTTATATTTATTTAAAAACACCAATTTTAAAAACTTTTTTCAATCACGAGATTGGAAGATTTTAAGTGCCTAAACGATGCAAGCGAAGAGCGTAGCTGAAAGAGAGCGGAGCGTCGGTTGTGTTAAGAGAATACCAAGCATCTTTAGCTATGAGCTAAGAGCGAAAGCGCAAAGAGCAGGTGAAAGAGAAAAGCTGAGGCATGAATGATGAATGCGACCCCATGGTGAACTCTTTAACAAGGTGACGTTATCCGCTGTGCGAGGACCACAAACTTATTCACCACGCTCAAAAATACAAGCGCTAGAAAGGGATAGAGATAAAGTAGTGGTACCCGAAAGCCACCACTTGTGGTAACTTTTCTCAAAGATAATTCACTGGGAAAAACAAATCAAGAAGTTAACAATCAAGTTAACACCCCCGCTATGACAATCTGATTATAGCTACAACCAACTTAATGATGATTAAGGAAATTGCCAACTAATTGTTTTTCGATAGTCACGCATATTATATGATCGTCATAAATCCACGATCGGGCCTATTATCGTTTCCCTAATCTCCACTCAGCGATTAGATCTGCACCGTGACACCGTGACACCGTCCCCACTGGGCACTGTGCACTATGGCTGTCAGAGAGTAAGGTGTGTGTTCCGGGGGCAACCAACCGGCTGGCAAAGTCTATAAAAGCCGCTGGTCATCGCTGTGCGGCTTCACACTGAACTTCAGGCTACGTAGCGAAGCATCAGCGGAGATTTGCCGTTTGTTTTGCACAGTGTAAACAAAAGCGAGTCGAAAGCAAACAGAACGTGAAAAGTGCAAATAGAAAAGCGATAAGTAACGCCATGGATGCCAAGGAGTTTCGGGAATTTGGCAAAGCAGCAGTTGACTTTGTGGCCGACTATCTGGAGAATATACGCGACCATGAAGTGCTGCCCACTGTGGAGCCTGGATATCTCTTGGATCTCTTGCCCAAACAGATGCCCGAGGAGCCTGAACCTTGGACCGAGGTGCTGAGCGACATTAATCGTGTGATTAAGCCAGGAATCACGCACTGGCAGTCGCCCAATATGCATGGCTATTATCCCACCAGCACCTCGTATCCGTCCATTGTGGGTGAGATGCTGGCCAGTGGGTTCGGCATCATCGGTTTCAGCTGGGTAGGTCAGAGTCGGAGCGGAGAAATCTCATTGTTTTGGTCAGCTGAATGGGCGCCCATTGTATGGAGAGTGAAAGTGAGGCCCCGAGAACTCGATAAACCGGTTATGACTGCAACGGATCGAACATCGAAGATCGAAGAGAGTGAAATTAAATCAATCTCGAATTGAAGATGAAACTTTGACTTCGCCTGAACAATGAACAAATGATCCACCGAATCATTATCATAATTATTATCACCCCGAAATTCAAGCAACTGTTCTTCTTTTCTAGATTTGCAGTCCCGCCTGCACTGAGCTGGAAGTGGTCGTTATGGACTGGCTGGCCAAGTTCCTCAAGCTGCCCGAGCACTTCCAACATGCCAGCGATGGGCCTGGCGGTGGTGTCATCCAGGGCTCAGCGAGTGAGGCCGTGCTGGTGGCTGTGCTGGCCGCACGTGAGCAGGCTGTGCTCAGCTGCAAGGAGACGCATCCCGAGCTGAGTGAGAGCGAAGTGCGTGGCAAGCTGATAGCCTACTCCTCCGATCAGAGCAACAGCTGCATCGAGAAGGCGGGTGTGTTGGCGGCCATGCCCATTAAGTTGCTGGCAGCTGACGAAGACCTCATCCTGCGCGGCGATACGCTGAGGAAGGCAATCGAGGAGGATGTGGCCGCTGGACTGATACCAGTCATATGCATTGCCACCTTGGGCACCACAGGGACGTGCGCCTACGACGACATCGAATCGCTGGCCGATGTCTGCCAAGCCCTGAAAGTTTGGCTCCACGTGGATGCAGCCTATGCCGGGGGCGGCTTTGCCCTGGAAGAGTGCGCGGAGCTGCGCAGGGGTCTGGATCGCGTGGACTCGCTAAACTTCAATCTGCACAAGTTCATGCTGGTTAATTTTGACTGCTCGGCCATGTGGCTGAGGGACGCCAACAAGGTGGTGGACAGCTTCAATGTGGATCGCATATACCTGAAGCACAAGCACGAGGGCCAATCGCAGATACCAGATTTTCGCCACTGGCAGATCCCCCTTGGTCGCCGTTTCCGTGCCCTCAAGGTGTGGATTACTTTTCGTACCCTTGGCGCCGAAGGACTGCGCAATCACGTCCGCAAGCACATTGCTCTGGCCCAGCAGTTCGAGTCATTTGTGAGGAACGACTCGCGCTTTGAAATGGTTGCCCCCCAAGCCCTGGGACTGGTCTGCTTCCGTCCCAGAGGTGACAATGAGAACACAACGCAGCTGCTGCAGCGACTCATGGAGCGAAAGAAGATCTACATGGTGAAGGCCGAGCATGCGGGCCGCCAGTTCCTCAGATTCGCCGTTTGCGGCATGGATGCCAAGCCATCCGACATTGAGTTTGCCTGGACAGAGATCGAGTCGCAGCTGACGGCGCACCTAGCTGAGAAATCGCTGGCTGAAGTCGCTCGGAAACCCTCCAATGTTTCTGACCTCACGCAGCACTTTCAGATGCATCTGGCCAATGGTGGCGGCGGCACCCATGAGAAATCGCAGTGACGGGAACAGCGCCCGGTTTTACAAACAATTGAACTATTTATGTTTAGGATGTCCTTAGTTTGCTTTGTAGTTTTTAGCAATAAATTCAATTTAAATTTGAAAATACTTATCGACCCGCTTAAAAGAGCATTAGGCTAAATTTAAGTTAATTTTGTTTGTTATTTTATTGGATTTTGCTGTCTATTGTATTTTGTGTGTCTGTTAAGATGTTCCGATAAGTCGTGATCCAAAGTCTTATTTAAATTTGGCGGGCAAGTGGAAATACCCAGCCCTGGGGTTAAGACCTAGCCGGCGCTGCCAGACGGATAAAAGGATCCCTAATAGTGCATGCGAGAGCGTCTGGCAAGAGAGAATTTCCCTGACCGTTTAGACACAGGATTAGATTTCCCTAGAGCATTTCCTTCACGTAGAATAAAAATCGCAGGAATAATTTACCTGGTGCCAATGGAATTTTTTGTGAAGTATTTACCTGTTATCGACAGCTTAGTTTTTGATGCAAATTTCTTAGCATGAAAGCTCCCTTGCTTTGTTAAGGGAGTTTTGAGGGGAGTTTGAGTTTGAACAAATATAAAATCAAAAATAGATTAATATTGGGCTGTAGACAATATATAGAAATAAAATCAATAAAATCGGTGACTAGTAAGACGATAATGATGATTTTTTCTACATTATCCTTTGCTCCTTAGCAAAATATAGGAGTAATTACAATGTATAAGCCGGAGTCTAGCCCCAATTCTGTTGTAAAGATAGAAGAACTGCCTCCCAAACCACTCCGACCTTATTATAATATATACCTATGTTTCCTTGCGCGCGCTATTTTTCAAACATTTTGAATATCAGTTAACATACATGTGTTTCTACATGTTACATACATTTACATACTAAACACTAAACTCCCTTGCTTCCAGAAGGGGTGATTTGGATGAAAAATTCAAATACAAATTTGTAAAATATAAGGTCATACAGTATACAATCCAATAAAAATTAATCCTTATAATAAGCAAAATTGATTCTTCAATCGGATTCAATTATTGTTTCAGTGGTGAAATAATTTTCTAGTTAGTAATATCAAATAGAACATCAAAATCGAGGAATCTGATTAAAGACTACTGTATATTTACGGTATATTTTGAAGATTCAATGTTATATTTTGGTATATTTACGAGGCCCTGAAAACTTGCCAAATTATAAACAAACAATTATACAATTTTAGTTTTTAGTTTTATAGCTTGCCAAGGCACCGTGAAAAAGCAAAAGGCGCTGCTGTGCTTCTGGTTCGTATTTGAAATGGTGCTCCAAACAGGGGCTCTGGAAAGGGGCGCCTGGAGTAACAGTTGACACCGTCCTTGAATATGTACTTTGTTTGTTTTTGTTCATCCAGGCAGGCGAGGCACATAGGCAACACACACTCGAAATTGCAAAGAATTGCTAGCTATGCAATGGTAAGTGTTGCTGCAGCCATCACCTAGACAAACAGACGCGGCTGCCAGCGAGATGCGTCACATAATAAAATGTAAGCAGCATCAGCGATCCATCAGACGCAGCTTATACAATGCCACGGCACTCCAGTCGGATGTCAGCCGCCCAAACCAAAGCGCTGACAGCGTCAATCTGGATCTGGAGGCGGCTCGTCGAAATGTCAGGATCGTGGTTATAGGCGCAGGTCTGGCTGGTTTGTCAGCCGCTCAGCACTTGCTGTCGCATGGTTTTCGGAGGACCGTCGTGCTGGAGGCCACCGAACGATATGGTGGACGCATCAACTCCCAACGCTTTGGCGACACATTCTGCGAGCTGGGTGCCAAGTGGGTGCCCATCGATGGGTCGCAAGACTCCACGTACGAGCTGCTGCGCAATGTCGAGGGTCTGGGCAAGCGGATCAAGCAACCGGAGAGGCCCGAGTACGTTAAAGTGGACCACGACAACGAACAGAACAAAGTAAATCCAGCCATGGTTGATCTGATCGATGCTCTATTCCGGCAGCTGTGCGGAGGCTTGAAGGTCCCAGACAAAGTCAAGACTGGCCGTGACCTGCACTCGCTGGACAATGTGATGGCCTACTTCAAGACGGAGAGCGACAGGGCCATTGGACTCACTTTTAAGCCGAATGAACAGCACACTGCGCGGGCGATCTTCCAGTCGCTGTTCAAGGAATTCAGCAGCGTTCTGGGCTGCTGCTTGGAGTACGTCAACATCGAGCACATTACCAGCTGTCCCGTGCAAGCGTATCCCAGTCCCATCTATGTGCCCACCGGCCTGGACAATATTGTGGATGAGCTGACTCAAAATCTGGGCAGGGAGCAGCTGCAAACGGGCAAGCCCGTGGGCCAGATACAATGGACACCATCGGAAGTCGGAGAACACAACAGCGTTGGCTGCCTGGATGGCAGTTTGTATTCTGCAGATCACATCATTTGCACTCTGCCCCTGGGTGTGCTCAAGAACTTTGCTGGCATTCTGTTTAGCCCAACGCTGCCGCAGGAAAAACTGATGGCCATACGCAATCTGGGCTACGGACCGGGGCCCGTCAAGATCTATCTCTCATACAGGCGACCAATCAGCATTTGGCTGAGAAGCAACCTGCGACCGCTTGGCGCACTCATCAATCGAGTGGCCGAACGTAGCTGGACACAACAGGTGGTGGAAATAACCCAGGTGCCCAGCAGTCAGCATGTGCTGGAGGTGCGCGTAGGTGGTGGCTACTACGAGGAGATTGAGAAGCTGCCGGACAACCAGCTCTTGGAGCACATAACAAAGCTGCTGAGGAAATGTATTAGCAACCATTTGGTGCCCTACCCAAACGAAATGCTGCGCTCCAGCTGGACCACCTCCGCCTGCTATCTCGGTGGCCGTCCGTACTACTCCACCAGCAGCAGTGCACGCGATGTCCAACGTCTGGCTGCACCACTGGGTGGAAAAGCGCCCAGCCTGCTCTTTGCTGGCGATGCAACCGCGCTGCATGGCTTTGGCACCATCGATGCAGCGCGTTCGAGTGGTATACGTGAAGCACAACGAATCATCGATTACTATAACATCAAGCAGTACAATTGAGCGCAAAATTCTAGTCAAAATTTAGTCGAAATTTAGTTGCAATTTTTGGAATACTTGTAAGCAGATACGTTTAATTAGAAGTAGCATAATAATAAATTTAAAGCATGAACAACATACAACAACAACGATGATTAGATACTAGATTATGATGTGGCGATGAACGGGTTGCTCCCCATCCATCTTATTGCGATGTAAATTCCCTAAACATGTCACAATTCTGCAGCCCAACGGCGGACTGGCTTACTTCGCGGCTTCAATTTCTTCGGTGGCAGCGGCACTGACCTCATTCCAGGTGTACACCATGTCCTCGGATTTAGTGAAACGCGAGCAGACGGCCATTCTTAAGAAGTAAACATCCTTGATCTTCGCTGGCACCATGTGAATATTTCCACGGCCGTTTATGCGCTTGAGCAGCGCTTCATTCCGTTCGTTGCTGCCCTTGAGCCGGAAGCAGACGAGACCCATGTTCACTTCGGCGGCCAGCTCGAAGCGTGAGTCTGCGACGGCCAACTCCCCAAATTGTGTGGCAAAGTTGCAGTGGCGACGAATGTGTGCCTGCAGGTTCTCGACACCGTACAGCCGCAGTACGAACCAGAGCTTGAGGGCGCGGAAGCGTCTTCCGAGCGGGATCTGCCAGTGGCGGTAGTCCGGAGCAGAGCCTTGCATGTCGTGCTTCAGGTAGAGCGGATCCACATTGAACGCGTTCACCACCCAGCTTGGATCCTTGAGCCACATGGCCGAGCAATCGAAGTTGACCAGCATCCATTTGTGGGGATTAAAGTTGAAAGAGTCGGCCGTCTCGATGCCCTTCATCAGATGCCGATACTCCGGGCAGATGAAAGCAGAGCCAGCGTAGGCGGCATCCACATGCATCCACACACTGTGCTTGTTGCCTACCGGGCCACATTCGTCCAGGCGATCGAAGGCGCACGAGTTGGTTGTGCCCAGGGTGACCACAGCATAGAAGGGTATTAGACCATTCTCCAGATCCTCCTTTATGGCCTTCTCCAGCGCCTCACCGCGCATGCGACTGTTGTCCGACGGCACCGAACGCAGCTTGACTCCACCCAGTAGTCCCGCTCGCTCCACAGAGGAATGCGCCTGATCCGAACAGTAGCCGACGAGTTTGCCAATGATCGTGTGCTCGTCCCAATCTGGATGCTCGGCCTGCACCTCTTTCACCTTCTTCGCTTTGGCACCGAGCAGGGCCACCAGGGTGGACTCACTGGCGGTGCCCTGGATGACACCGCCACCCTTGCCGCCCGAACAGGCCAGGAACTCCGAAGGCAAATCGATCATCTTGCCCAGCCAATCCATCATGGCCACCTCCAGCTCGGTGCAGGCGGGACTGGCGATCCAGGTGAAGCCAATGCACGCGATCGCTCCACTCAGCATGTCAGCCACAATGGCCGGATAGGAGTTTGCCGTGGGGAAGTATGCGTGAAATTTGGGACTGTGCCAGTGCGTCACACCCGGCATAATCACACGTTCGATGTCCTGCATCACATCCTGCCAGCTCTCGGGCTTCTCGGGCGCTGCATCCGGTATCAGAGGCTTCAAGTAGCCGGGCTTTACCTCGGGCAGGACTCGTCTGCAAGGCGAAAAATTGCATTAGTTGCCTGTTGTAAAACCATTTATTCAGCAAAATCTTGCTCCTAATTGCATTTCAAACTTAATTACACACACCAACACAGCCCCAAGCAGCTACATTGTATGTGTGGGTGTGGGCATGGGGAAACTAATAACAAGGTGACGTTTTACGCTGTGTGGGGACCAATAACTTTTCACCACGCGCAGAGTGAATGGGAGGGAGCATGAAGCAATTATATGAGGAGGTCTCGTCGGCTGACTGTTAGCCCGACCCCTAGCGCTCAAAATAAATAAGAAAACTTCAACTCTTTTTCTTGCAATTGTCAAATTTAAGCCCCATGCCATTAAACGGTTAATCAGCACACTCCATTGTCCTTTCACTCACACTTGCAGCGCAGAGCCCTTGCACTCGCACTTATTGACAGCATTGTTAGGGAAGAAATTTTGCCGTCAAGACCTCCTTATATAATTGCTTCATAGGATCTAGCAATGGGAAAGACGTCTCCTTATATCCCCAGATTGTTGTTGCCAGTGGAAATAAGAAATCAATAGCTATTATCTGTGCACAGAAGTGACAACTGAAGGGCAAACGCAAGATAATTAAATTATTCGCATTCAGATTTTATGAACTCCGAAAGAAGGTTCACCCTAATATGCCCAACATTTACGCTGCTAGAAAATGTTTCTTATCAATGCGCAATGGGTGTGTTCCAACGGGTTTAAAATGAACTGCTCGTTTAATTAAGTCAATTCCAAATCTTTTCGGGTATTATTCAGTGCTTATTTATTGCATTGCCCAATACAACTACCTTCAATATTCAAGGCAATGGAAAACATAAAGAAACCGTTAGACTTGCCAAAGAACAATGGAATGGAACGGCAATGCACGTCTGCGCCCATGCCCGACCTTGAAACGCCAACACTAAAACATTTTTGAATGCTGTAATGAGCGATTAGCTGCAGAAACACATAAAAATTAACAAAAATGAAAGTGTTTAGCATTAGAAGAGCGTTGCCAAGGTCGCTGAAAACGAGCAAGCGTGCATACTTCTGTATGCTGTGTGTAATAAAGCAAAGGTCAGATCAGATCGGAACGGAACGGAAAGCGGAGAGACTTTCCCATGACTAACGCACAGTACGGCTTGTGCTAAATGTCATTCACTTGCTTGAAATCAAACAGAACGAACTTTCAAATTAACACCACACGCTGAGGTCAATCAACAGCCAATATATTTATAACAAATATTTCCTTGTACGAGTGTGTATCGAATACCTTCAATTAAAATTAAACTGAAACACTTACTCACACCCTGGGTGAATGCCTCTCGCGACAATTTTGCTTACCTGTCTCGTATGTTCTCCAAATATTCGGCTATATAATCCACCATTGATTTGGCAAAGTCCTTGAACTCCGGTGCCTCCATGTCGATCTTTAAGTGGAGAAACGGGACACTGATTAGTACGGAATTGATATAGGATTAATGTTTGCTGATTGCTCGACATACCGACACCTTGGGATCCAGTTTATCTTCCACCTTGGCGTTAGCTTTATCATTACCGTTAGTTTGCGTTGGTTTGTTAGTGGTATTAGTGGGTAGCTCGCTCATTTTAGGCTCGTTTTAATATAATAATTAACAACTAAATTAAATCGATGATACTCTGAGCGTGTTAGGTAAGCAATGGGAAAAAAGTTGAATGGGAATTTTGATATCAAGTTTTTATATCTAAAATATAGTGAATAAAATGTATTAATAATGCTAATCAGTACAGCAGCTGCGGTCCAGCAATGAATTAATGTAGCTACATGTATATAAACATACATGTGTATGTAAACACACTGAGACATATGTATACATACATAGAGTACTCCTAAAGTTAGAATTAAATTCATAATGTTGCATGCATAAATATGTACGATTTTTGGGCTTTTGCCTTACTTTCGGCTCAGTGTAATTAATTTGTTAATTAGAATTTCAGGTTCGTTTCGTATTTTTCTCAATTTAATTCACTTGAAGGCAAAGCAACGCAACGGCAAACAAGTTGGCATTGGAGGCAGCAACTTTTTGCTCGATGCTAAAGATTTAAGCTTTGTTTTGTTCATAGATACACAACTTGTTAATCCAAATGAAGGAATTCTGCATAAGTTTAAAAATTAGGGCAGACCCTCAAGCAACAGTTGCGTATACGCCGTGTTAGCACAGAAAATAAAATGATGTGTGTCCGTTTTCCATTGAGTAATTATGTTGCCAGAGCACTTTAAGTGTTTGGACATGCAAATATTTAATTAAGCTCCACTCACCGTGTACTTTAGGTAAGTGCCTTTTAATTATTAGCACTTGTCGCGCTTTGTTTCCGTTTCGAACCAAATCTTTTGGTCTACTGATGCTTTCTGAGCTGTGAGCTGTGGTGATGGACCTGTTCGGTGTTCTGCGTTCGACGTTCACTTGTTAACTGAGCGCTGCTCGCACTTGGGCCAAGGCATTTAAAGCCCAGCAGCAGCAGCCAGCCCACCGCCACCGAGCACGGACAGGACCGGTTCAAGCCACTCGGCCGTTGCCGCTGGACTGCAACATTCTCAACTTGTTTGTGCGATTCTCTTTGATTTGTTATTGCGCTCTTCTGGGGGTTTTTGTTTTTGTTTGTTATTTGTTATTTGGAAACTTGCATTCATTTGTGCGTGACTCAGTTACAGGACACTACACTCGTTGGCACTGGCAATGGGGTAAGCAGAGGTCTCTATAGCCTGTGGGTTCGAGCTGATGGCAGGAAACTGAAGCGTTAAAAGTTCTTAAAAAAGTTTAGAGAAGCTTTACCAACCATCATTAATATTATTAAATATAAATTAATATATTTTGCGTGTTTGTTTATACGCCAAAGTCTTTAAACCCATTTAAAATTCCAATTAAAAGACTGCTCCAAATGCTTAAATGCTGCGCACGTATGTACCTCCAAGCCCCGTTTTATGGGAATCCAGGAATCCCCCGTCATGAGTCACAGAGAGCAGTGAGCAAGAGCGACAAAAAACGATTCAAAGAAGTGAATTTCATAGAAATGGCATCGCATTCGCGCACGCTTTAAACTCACTTCCAAACTGGTTTTCAGAGCACCAGCATCAGCATCAACTGTGACGTAGTCCGAGGGCGGCCCGATCCGCTCACGTGTTATCCACTTCATTTCTGCTGTGACGTCAAAGAGTTTCATATCCTATTGTGTCAGGGATGTGGACCGCAAGCAGGGGGTGGCTTTAGGTGCGTTGGCCAACTGTTGCTACGCGCAGCAGAGAGGAGAGTGTGCCTGACATTTCAACGAAGCCACTTTGGCAAATCACTTCGACTGAATCAACAGATTTCTATGCCATGCCCGGAAGGCACTGCCTCTGATTGTAATGCGTTGAGAGAGCACGCCCCAACCAGCCACCCACTGCCACTCACACTCCTGTGAGTCCTGAACTATGGGGTTGATTTATGGCAGACTTTGGCCTTTATTCATGTCCTCTTGAGATGGCGCCTTTAAGTGGGGGGAACTGACTGCATAATCAGGCATTAAAGACCATAGACCATGAGAGAGCCACAAGTAATGTGTAGATACATTTGTGTGTATTATTTATTGTATTGTTTCTTCACGTGACGTAATTAACATTTTCCGCTGCTTAGATCTAGATTTCGATTTTGTAAACCGATACGCGGGGGCTCATATTCAACAGCTCACATGGAGAGAAACGAAAGTTTGAGCTGAGTTTGAGGCACACGCTGCGGCAATCAATCCAACCAGAGTGGGGAGGAAGTTTGTGTGTAAAAACCATTGAAAAGGGGACAAATTTTTGGTTGTTACGCTACATTTTTCTCCAGTGAATCAGTCAGTCAGTGGGCGCGCATTACAACAGTGCATATTTCAGCAGAAACAAATCGAAAGAGTACTTAGTAAATGCTAAAGGTAGTTACAACTTAACGGAACTAGACGCGTCGAGCTACTGCGCCAGGGTCGATGGTAGATTGAGGAGCGTGCTCTGGCCACTGGGCAAGTAGGCAACGCCACGGGATCTGGATAGCTGGTAGGCAATGTCCTCGGCGGCTTCAATACGACGCAGCTCGACGAGACCGTCACCAGCCTCGCCAAACGATTTGGCCAGCAAACCGGCAGCGGCGGCATCACCCTCAGCCGAAATGATCGATGCCAGCTTCTGCTGCTCTGCCTTCTCCACAACGAAGCGAGCCTTTTCGGCCTCCTGCTGGGCAACCTGTTTCATCTCAACGGCCAGCGTGAACTCACGGCCAAAGGTCAAGTGTGTCAGCGAAATGTCGTCCAGAATGAAGCCGAACTGATTAGCGCGCAAGGTCAACTCTTGCGAGACGCGCTGCGAAACCATCTGTAGATTGGACACAAGAAATTCAGGGTTAAGGTTCATCCATTATTGTTTTGTTGTTGCTGCTCCCAAACTCACCTCACGCTGCGTAATCAGCTCGCCGGCATCGAATTGAGCGACAACTGCCTTCAGCACCTCAGGGGCAATGGAGGGCAGGACACGCTCATCGTAGTCCTGGCCCAAAATCGTGTAGATCTTTGGCAACTGCTCGGGTATGGGACGGTACAGGATACGCAGCGTAATGTTCACATTCTGCAAATCCTTGCTGCCGGTGATGACTGGCACGTTGCGGGGCTGCGAGCGTATGTCGAAAATAATGGGACGCTGCACCCATGGGATGAAGAAGTGTGTGCCCTCGCCAACCACATGCTCCTTGATGCCGGTGAATCGGTCGAAAATCACAGCCCGGTGGCCTCCCTCCACATTATATAATGCGGAATTGACAACGCCGCCAAGCACGGCTACTCCGAGGCCCATCTGGCCAATGCGGTTGAAAAATTGTGCAGCCATGGTCTACGGAAAAGTAAGGAGAACAAAGAATATTAAGTCAACTATTTAGTTCTATATGTATGTAAATAAAAAGCCGACTCGGTTTATCAATTTCATCAACTTTTTAGGTTAGAACGTCATTGCTGACCGACAACGTGTAATGTTCATGTTTTATGCTGTAATGGCATATATCTAGGCCCTTGTGAAATGCGAGCTCTTGGCACTTACAGATTACAAGTTTTTAATGTGTATTATTGCAAAATTAAGACACAAATTTTATTTAAACACGACTTTCAGAGCAGAGCAAGTGTGACCGCGGAATTATCGATAGAATATACTGTCAGGCCCTCAAAAATATACCACAATAAACCATCATAGTCTTAAATCATATTCCTCGATTTTGATTTTCAATTTCTTTACCAGCTAGTTTAGATTCTCAGCGCTAAAATGTTATCCACTACATCAATCAATTATCCACAAGATGGGATAGTTTTCATGAATTTCTTTTGTTGTATTGTTTGCAAAATAAGGTTACAACTAAATAGGTCAACCAAAAAAAATACCATGGAATGGAAGCTGGAGAGGACAACCTGTGGGAAAAAAAAACTGCAGAGACATTCTGAAAAACGCCGTGGGGCTCTGACTCTAACTCTAGCACTCCACTCCAAAAACAAACCAAACTTTTCGATTCGCATTTGCATTTGTTACATACCCTTAATAACAATCGCCGCAAATCTTAGAAAGAAACAACATAATTTATTGTGTCATTTCGGCCCGCCCAGCCCCCTTGGGCATCTTTTTGTTGGTCGAGTCCTCCAGCTCCTTGGCCTTGTAGTAGTGCGGTGCCACCTCCAGCAGCCACTTGCTCTCGATCTCAATAACCTGCCGCATATACTCCTTGGAGGTGAAGACCAACTCATGGTAGAGCACCCAGCGCGGCAGCTCCTCGAACAGCGAAGAGTTCGGATGAATCATAACCGTCTGATTGTGCTTGATGGTCTTGTACTGGCCGCCCTTGGACAGGCGTGCCACATGGTAGAAATATCCAGCTGTGGATGCCTTGCGCACATTAATCGTCTCCGGCAGGCAGCTGACCATATCGATCTCGACGCGCTGCATCAGGCCCACCAGCTGCTCCCGCACATCTCGTGCACGCTTCATGGAACGATACTGGATGAAGTTCTCGTAGCACCACTGCGTGCTGTAGTCCGTCTCCGCCCACTGATTATAGACCTGCAGCAGACTCAAATGATCGCCGTGCATGTGGTTAAAGTTCTTGCGGGCAGTGTCCGCATGTATAATCTTGTCCTTGGGTCGATAGAAGATGGCACTGTTCACGGACAGCATGGCCGAAATGGTGACCATCTCCTCAGAGCATTTGTACCTGCAAAGATAATCGATAAAGCTGCAGTTTGTGGAGTTCTCCCTCAGTACTCACTTTTCGCTTGCCAGCAACATCTTGCCCATCATGGGATCCACGGGAAATTCGGCCATGCGGCGACCCAGCTTGGTCAGCTCTCCATGATGATTGAGTGCACCCAGCGCATACAGTTGTTCGAGGGCCAGCACGAGCGTCTCATGTGGCGGTGGATCCAAGAAGTCAAAATGTATCAAGTCGTTGATGCCCAAAGCTTTCAGCATGAGCACCGCGTTGCCCAGATTAATGCGCTGTATCTCCGGCACCGTGTTGTCCTCCAGCTCGTGCTTGTAGGCCCACGCGGTGTACAGGCGGAAGCACTTGCCGGGCGCCGTGCGACCCGCTCTGCCAGCTCGCTGGTTGGCGGATGCCTTAGAGATGGGCACTACCATCAGTGACTCCATGCCAGTGCGGGAATTAAAGTTATTCTGCTTGGCAAAGCCCGGATCAATCACATAAACAATGTTGTCGATGGTCAGCGAGGTCTCCGCAATGTTCGTGGCCAAAATCACTTTGCGGGCATTCGGGGGCGTTGGCTCGAAGATTTTCGCCTGCATGTCGCTTGGCAGATTGGCGTAGACGGGAATGACGATCAGCTCGCGGATTTTGGAGCCCAGTCGCTTCACGCGATCCTGCAGCACCTCCTGGCAGGTCTCGATCTCATCCTGACCCGTCAGAAATACCAAAATATCGCCCAAGGGCTGAGTGGCGTGTATCTGCAGCACAGACACGCAGCAGGCATCAATGTAGTCCGCCTCCGGGGCCTTTGTGTAGAATATATCCACGGGATAACGTCGTCCGGGTATGCGGAAGATTGGCGCATCATCGAAGAACGCCGAAAACTTATCCGCATCGAGGGTGGCGCTCGATATGAGCAGCTTTAGCTCTGGCCGAAAGCGGGCAATATCCTTCACCAAACCAAACAGAATATCCGTGTGGAGAGTGCGCTCGTGAGCCTCGTCAATGATCATTACACTGTAGGAGGCCAAATCGGGCTCCGAGAGGAACTCGCGATGCAGGGTGCCGTCCGTCATGTACTTGAGAATGGTGCGATCCGAGGTGCAGTCTTCAAAGCGTATGCTGTAGCCCACCTCGTTGCCCAGCTTGACGCCCATTTCCTCGGCCACGCGGGCCGCCACAGACATGGCAGCCACACGACGCGGCTGCGTGCAGCCAATCATTTTCTTGTCCTTGGTAAAGCCCGCGTCAACGAGGTACTGCGGCACTTGGGTGGTCTTGCCCGAGCCCGTTTCACCCTCAATGATCAGCACCTGATGCTCCTTAACGGCGGCAATGAGATCCTCTTTGAATGGATAAACGGGCAGCGAGCGGCGCGTCTCGTCGAGGGTCAGCCTTTTGCGTTCTTTTTCTGTTAACTCCGGTTGGCGGCTAGATGACTTTTCGCGACTTCCGTCGAGTGTCAGGGCCTGTATGAAATCAATTTGATCGTCCAGCAGCAGCTCATACTCCTCCTCGGCCTTGACATCCTTGGCACCAAACTGGAAACGGGCGGAGGCCAATTGCTCGGCTTCCCATTTCTTTTGCTCGGAATTTGGCTGCCGCTCGAAGTCGTCCACCTCGACATACTCAGCTGCGGAAGAAAGAAAAACTTTAAGTGTGAATTTTAGGATGGCAGATTCGTCTTACAGCGCTCGCCCTTCTTCATGTCCTGCGGCATGTGATAGCGCTGCACGCGCTCCAACTCCCGCGCCTTCTCATGCTCCTTGGCAATGTTCAGCAGCTGCTTTTTGTACTGGCGCTCCTCGCGCTCGCTTTTGGTTAACCTTGGGGTAGCAAAAGGGACAATAAGTAAAGGTTTTCCATCAGACATTGTGCAGCTTACACGCTCTCCTCGAACAGATACTCGTCATCCAATATATCCGCCTCCAGCTCGGCCACTTTGTCATCCTTGCGCTTTTCCAGGTACTGGCGTCGCGACTGCAAGCGCAGGTGTGGCACAATCTTGTCCCGATCCTCATGCTCCAGCTTCAACCGTTTGGTGGCCTCCTCGATAGCCTTGCGGCTGCTGCCCGTGGAGTCTACCACCTTGCGTGTCCGACCCTCATCGCGCTGCTTCAGACGATTTGCGAACTCATCTCGCTCCTGCAGATCTTTCAAGCGCGACTCCTCCTCACTGTCCGGCTCCTCGGCACTGCTGCTGCTGCCAGCAGTTCGTTTTCTGTTTTTACCAGACATTTTCCACCATAAACAATATAAGCGCAAAATCAAAACAAAACAATGTTCCGGCTGGACCGAAATAGTTATCGATGCATCCGAAAATCCGAAAAATATTTTGGGCTATATCGATAGCGAACGAAAATGTAGATTAAATGAAATTGATTAAAGAAGTCAAAGAACAACTGGAAACATGCTAATATGTTTCTTTGTATTCAACGAAAGCCCGGACATGGCTCCCAACAACGCTTCTACATGATTGTTACTCGGTGTGCTAGCACAACAAGTTGACCCCATCAGCTTATCGATACATTAAGCGCATCTCTAAGTGCGTTTCAAGGTGTGTTACCTAGGGATGGCAGGCGTGCGATTTAAAATTCCAATTCCAAGCTGTAATGTCGCGTCAGTTGAGTTTTAATCCCCGCAAGGAATATGAATTGATTGAATACCCAGGCCGCGTAGTCCACACGGAGCGTATGCTGGCCACCTTGGGCGGAATAGTCAAAGTGTCAAGAGTAAGTCGCTGTAACGATCCTACAGTTGGATTTCTATTCTGATCCGCTTGTTTCCAGGTCTTGGGCGATGAAGTGAAGCGTCTGGAGCTGCGCTTTCATCCGAAGAATCCCTATAACAAGCCCGCCTTTGGGGACTGCACCGACAAAACGGGAGTCCTGCTCTCGGTCACTGTGCGCCGACATAAGCGGGACAAGCTGCGCGCCCCACAGTATTTCGTGCGCGTTCTAGGACACTGCAGCCGCAGCTTCTCTTTCGAATGTGAGTGGCGCACGTACTGAGAGATTGACAACAACGCCGTTGCTTAATAACCCTGAATATATTCTAGCTCTTTGTGATTTTCAGTACTTACCACTGTGGGCCACGCCACAGAGTGACAATGGCCAAGCGGCGTCAAACCTCGAGTATGCCCTGGAGCAAACGCAGCCAACAGACGTCACAGATCTCGAGTTCTTCAAGTGAGTCATAGCCCACAGCATAAGCAGATTAACAGCTTTGTCTTCCTGCAGACGTCGTCAGAGTCAGCATCTTTGCCTGCCCGAGCTGTTTGCCCGAGTGGACCTCGTGCATACGGGCAACTACCGCATCGATGGCTCGGAGGATGGCCTGCAGGAGGTGCTGGGAGTGCTGACAAAGTCCTCGTATGACAGCTACGACGTGGTCTCATTCAACATGCTGGACACCTTCCCCACCCAGGCAGATGCACAAATATTGAAACGCCTCAAAGTGAAGTACGTTTCCGATGAACAATTTGCGCGCGTGCAAAAATTATTCGACGAATGCCCCATCTGGACGCGCATAGCGCTGCTCTACGAGTCTGGCGTGGGCACGGACAAGCTCAAGTGCATCATACCATCGCTTGCGTTTTACTTCAGCAACGGGCCATGGCGTACGCTGTATGTGCGCTATGGCTACGATCCGCGCAAGGATTTCAACAGTCGCCACTATCAGACCTTTGACTTTCGCCTGAGGTTTGGCACTGGCGTCTCCGAGTTTGTCTACTCGCGGAAGTCGGCCAAGCTGAAAATGACCTCTGCTGCCGGCACGGAGGAGCCAAAGTGTGATTTGGTCCAGAACATTGACTATCCCTACTTCGATGAGCACAAACTGCCACGCTCCAGGCAGTGCATGCTGCGGTACTGCGACGTTCGCATCCAAAAGATTCAGGATATGCTGGAGAAGATTCCCACACCCCTCACTGGTGCCATTTGCAACGAACGCACTGGGTGGCTGCCACCCAGCTTCGATGCTCAGGTGCGGCAAATTGTCTGTGCAACGATCAGCGATCTGTTGCGCAGTCATTATCGCAAGGAACATCTAATGGCCGAGGTTGAGGCGGTGCCGCATGCCGACGAGGAGGAGGATGATGGCGAGGATGAGGAGACGCAGGAAGAGGACATGGAGCTGGACGACTCGCTGACAATGAACAGCACCGAGACCTATATGGACAAGGACATTGAACAATTGTTTAATAATATTACAAGCTGATAACAATATCAGAGTGTGACCGCGGAGTTATCGATTAAATATAAGCCAGACCCTCGAAAATATACCAAAATATACCAATGAAACAGCTGCAGCACATTCTGATTAAGCTTAGGCGCGGCCTTTATTTTGAATATTTTGGATACAGATTAGGTAGGGATTAAGCTAGGATAAGCGCAGATAAGCGGAAAGAGTGTTTAAATGCTGTTGGGAGATGGTTAGCAGGATGAATGCTTAAGGCTTGCATCTGTCGAGGAAACGTGGATAGAGGCAAACTTCGCGAATGTGATAGCGATTGAGCAGCCAGCAGAGGAAACGCTCCAGACCCAGACCATAGCCGCCATGGGGCATCGTGCCGTAGATGCGTTGATCGGTGTACCAGTAGTAGGGCTTGGGATCGATGCCCTCACGCTGATAGCCCTTGAGCAGCTCCTCGCTGTCGAAGATCCTCATGGATCCACCGACAATTTCTCCCACATTGGGCAGCAGCACATCGACGCTTTCGGTGAGAGTCTTATCCTCCGGGCAGCGTGACATGTAGAAGGACTTAATCTCGACTGGGAAGCGACACAGCATAATGGGCTCATTGATGGCATCCGTCATCTTGCGCTCGGGTGCCTCGGGTATGTCCTCGCCAAACTCATAGAAAGTGCCATCGTCCTTGGTTACATTGTTCTCCTTCAGCCATTTGATGGCATCCGAATAGTTCATGCGACGGAAGGGCTTCGTTGGCGGCTTAAAGTCGGGGTTGAGCTCCTTCACAAGATGTCCCCATGGGGACTTAAGCACACGATCGACCACATCGCAAACGAGATCCTCCAGCCGATCCAAGAGATCGTCAAATGTGAGGAAAGGACACTCTGCCTCTATGTGTGTGTACTCGGCGAGATGGCGGCGCGTGCGGCTCTGCTCCGCCCGATAGCTCTGGGCAATGGTAAAGACATCGCCGAGTGCTGGGAGACAAGTCTCCAAATACAGCTGCGAGCTCTGGGTGAGGTACGCTTCCTCGCTGAAGTATTGTAGCTTGAAGAGCGTGGATCCACCTTCCACCTGGGTCTGCACCAATGTCGGTGGCGTCACCTCATTGTAGCCGCGCTCGAAGTAGTGCGCCCGGAAGGCCTGCATCACCACAGAGCGCATCTTTAGCACCTTAGAGGTGTTCTCGCCACGGATCATGATGTGGCGGTTGTCCAGCTGCACATCTGGCTGCGCTTCCTCGTTGAGGATGGCGTCAGCGCCACCCGGCGGCGCCAATCCAATCAGCTCCCAATAGTCCACATTCAGCTCATGGCCACCAGGTGCGGTCTTGCCTTCTGGTGTGAGTTTCAGCGTGCCAAACAGCACCACAGTGCTCTCGGTGCTCAGGGTGAGCGCGTCGTACGTCTGGCAGAGCTGATCGTTCAGCACGCACTGCAGGAAGCCAGTGCCATCCCTCAGCGTAATGAAAGCCAGTGACTTGCCCTGACGCCGCAGACGATGCACCCAGCCATAGACCTTGACTCGGGAGCCACGGTTGTCGGTGCCCTCCATAATTCGGATTTTGCGGGCCACCGGCCAGCTGGGATCTTCGGAAATCTTCACCTTGCGCGCCTCCTCGAGGTTCTGTTGACGCTTCTCGGCATCCCCGGCTTCACGCTGCTGCTTGTCGGCGTTCTTGTGTCCCTCACGTACGAACAGCTTCTGAATCTTCTTGAGCTGAGACTTGGCGGCCGGCTCGAAAGCTTCCGCGGCATTAGGGTCCTTGCTGTCCACGTAGATGGTCGGGAAAGGCTCCTTGCCGGCATGACGCATCGCCTGAAGGATGGTCTTATAGGGTTTGGCCTCGCTGCCATCTCCAGACTCGTCACTGCCACTCTTCTCAGAGGTGAAGAGGGCGCCTGCACACACACAGAAGTTCATATAAGTATAAAAATTCAATGCACATTGCAATCCGATAGCTTTCGCCGCTGACAACGTGGACTTGCACGTGTCGCTTTTTGGGCAAAATAACAAGTAAACTTACTTATGCTTAGATCAGCCAAATCCGCGGGCATCTTGTTTGACAAATGATGACTAAGAATGGGGCTTTTATAAAGAAAATCACAAGATTTAACAACTATGAAAGTGTGCAGAAAATTGCATCAGCTACTAGAATCGATTGCTCCACCGGGATACTCGATAGTACTCATCGATGACAGGGTTGCGATTTTTTTGGTATTTTTAAGCAACGTCGGATTTTGGTGCAGAAAAACAAAACAAATGAAAAACAGCATAAAATGCCTACTGAAAACAGGTGAGATTAACAACAAATGAAAAAAATTACTACACACTGCTGATGCTCCACTTCCCAAATCCCATTCCAGCATTAAGATAATGCCCAAGGCTGTGGTCTGCGAGGAGAGCAACCTGCGTGGTGACATCACCTTCTCCGCTGGCTGCGTTGTCCATCCCAGTGCCACGGTCATAGCAGAGGCGGGTCCCATCATAATCGGAGAGAATTGCATTCTCGAGGAGTACACTACCATCGCTCATCGACTGCAGGCCGGGGCCAGCTGGAATGCCAACAACATCCTCAGTATTGGAACACACAACGTCTTTGAGGTCGGCTGCACCGTGGAGGCGGCACGCATCGGAGACAAAAACGTTTTCGAGAGCAAGTGCTTTGTGGGCCCGGGCGTCACTGTGCCAAGTGGCTGCGTGGTTGGGGCAGGCATACGGATGCACACGGAACAGCTGCTGGCGGAAAACACCATCGTGTATGGGCAGCAGGCACTGCAGCGCGAGGGAATGGAGAAGCAGAGCTCCCAGACGCTGCAAATTGATTTCCTTCGCAAGGTTCTACCCAACTACCACCACCTGCGGAAGCCCAATCACGATCCAAAAAAGGCGCGCAGCGTCGTTTAAATCTCACTCATGTATTCTCTTGCACACTCCTTGAATCCGCAGCATTAAAGTTATTCATTTCGTTCCCAAAAACTTCCATAGTGTGATCGCACAGCGCCTCCAAATCCTCGAGTCCACGCTTTAGGAGATCCACAGCGCGATCCCGGCGCGACTGTATGCGAAAGTGCAGCTTCTGTTCGGTGGGATGGGGTATGGTGTATCCGCAGAAGTCTACCTCTGGGTACCTGGCGATGATCGTCTTCAGAGCGTTGCCAAGTGTGTGGCCCTCGTTAAGGAAAACGAAGGTGCGGGATCCCTCTCCGTTCTTCTCGTCGCCTGCAAGCTGCAATAATCGAATCATTATTGTTCATTATTTTCAGGTCGGTTTTGGCACCAACCTCTGCTAGGGCTTCCATTTTGATCAGGATCGTCTTTTGTTTACAAAACGAAAACAACGTGCACGCCACATGCGATTTGTGGCCGTATGACCCTCAAAGAAATACCCCAATATTCAATTATTGCAAAATATACCAAGGAAAATAAAATTCCTCAAGTTGGATAAAGGACCACTAAAACTGTCATTTTATCCGTTTGATGAATCAATTTTCTACAATCTACAATATACGATGTCAAGCATTTGCGAACATTTAAGACAAAAAATAAAAGTAAGCGTAAACACAATATCCTTCTAGTGGAACGTGCCAGCTCGAGTTTTTCACCGGGTGTGCTTAAGTGGGTTAAGAGCGTTCAGTCACCCATGATAAATGGTTTTTTTTTTGGTATATTTATAAAAGAGAGAATAATATTCAAGCGATACATTCACGGTCACACTGAATCGTACACACTGCCGGCGATTTGAGCGTGTTTCAAATTTAGTTTTATATTTTTAGATAAGAATTGTTCTAGACCCTACCTAAAGCAAGACGACTACACTAAGAACTCCAGTTATTATAAGTTCTTGTCGCGGATTTTGTGACATATGACGCAGCTGTTATTCGTTAATTTGTGCTTGTTAATGTGTTTGTTTGATCGCGAAAAAGTCTTAAGCAGCAGAAGACGCTGCTAAAGAGAAGCAAAGAACTAAACCAAACCTCATTGTGCAAAGCGAGGCTTCAGAAAAAAACTGCAACGGCAAACATAATTATTTTCGCAATGCGCTGAGCTCCAGCAAAAAAAAAAAAACACCGACACCGGCCTGGAGGCGGCAAGACCTTTTCGTTTTCGCGCCCAGAAATAAACGGGAAAAAAATCTGCAATACAGGTTTGTGTGAAACAGCAGCAAATGCGGTGAATTATAGTGAATAAATACGCTTATTGAACTCCAAAGTGCCACTTTGATTTTGGCCATGACAGCCACGCCCCCCTCTGGCCGCAATCCAAATTATGCAAATTCATGCATTACACACACACATAAACAACATAACAGACATATAGGCAGCTACCTCTGCCGTTGCTGCGACGAGACCAGCAAAGGCGGAAGCGAACTCTAGACAGCTTTGGCGTTCTGTTTTGTTTTGTTGTGTCGTCGTGTACAATTTGATACATTCGGTTAATAAATAATTACAAATTGCTTAAATGTCTTGTTTCGTTGTTTGCTAGGCGTGCAGCTCCCTTCCTCCTTGCTGCAAGCGTCATTGCCTCTCCCTCCCAAACGTTCCACACCCCACACATCTGCTGTTTGTCAACGAAGCCTGTCTTTCGGTGGTGGTGACTAATGCAAAAGCATGTTCCGTTATCTCATGTGTTCCCCTGCTGCGTCCCCTCCGCACTCACAAACTTGCAATGGTCTCGCTCTGTCGCCCGTTTCATTCGGCTCCATGCGTTCCCCCTAATTTTCGCCAGGCTGCAAAACGTTGCAATTTGGTCTAGGCTGTGTTCCGCTTCCATTTTGTTTCCCCCATTATGCTGTGCGCCCTTTTTCTGTTGTTTTTACATCGCTGCAGCGCACACATGCATACATAAATACATACATATATATATGTATGCCATGCCTATCGGCGTTGGTGTACATTGTATGTATGTTTGTTTGTACATTGGTGTATGTACCATGCTGTGAGAGCGAGGCAGCTGCTCCCAGTTTGCTCGCTGATACTCTCCTTGTTTTATTTTTGCATTTATTTGGCTTTGTTGTTGCAACAAAGGAACTGCATTGAAACGGCACGATCGTCGCAAAAAAAAAACTGGAATATTTCTGCGAATACGATACAAAGTTCTCATGTGGCTTGTAAGATGACAACAATCATACATAAATATGTATCATAATTACATTTGTACATATTACAAACTTACTTACTTTAATAAACAATTTGGGAAACAGTTTCACAGGTGTGTAGTCAAAGAGGGGAGGGAGGAATTTGCCATTTGTAGGACTCATCAATATAATGAAACGGATCCCAAACTCAAACTAAACCAAAATTCAATTTGATTATTTTACTGATGGTGAAAAATACTTCCATATGTAGAAATGTTTGTACAAACATACAATACAATACATATAATTGGCAACGGCAGAAGGCAGATGCGGACAGGCTGGCAGACACCACATCGTGCCAGGCCAACATCCTGTGCAGTAGCAGTGGCAACAGCAGCACGAAAGAGCACGTAAAAAGCAGACAAAACCAGAGCTGGATACGGAGAATGAGAGTGAGAATATACAGGAAGGGAACGAGAGGTAGAAACCTGTCGTCTGGTGGCTGCATTCGATACGGACAGAGGAGGAGGCAGCACAGCAGGATGGAGCTGAGAGCATTTTTAGAATTCCCAAAAACAACAACAACAAAAAGAGAACAAACCGTGCTGGCCAGACAGACACACCTCCCTCTCTCTTTCTTTCTCTCTGTGTCTGTATGTCTGCCTGTGTGCGTGATCGAGTCCCGTCCCAGACGGAGCCTTACTTTATACATACAGATGATGTACATACATTCATATGTACATATGTGTGTATATGTGTGCATTCTTCTGTTCTTTTCATTTTCGCTCTTGTTTCCTTGCTATTTCTGCTCTCGCTGCACACTTTTCTGGCTTTCGGGCTGCTTTTTGAGCTGCACACTTGGTATGGGAATCGTCAAAACAGGAAGGGAAGAGTCGAGACTGTTTTTGTGGCCGATGCTGCCAATACCCTGCACAACTGTCAGAGTGATTGCAGATAATATGCATGCATAAAAATATGTGCATGAACTGGCAGGAAGGATATTTTGCTATAAATTTTAGAAATAGGAAGTGTGCGTTTCTTTTGTAATAAAATGTGTAGTACCCTCTGCAAAGGTAGGGAAAGTTTCGAAGTTATTTTCCATTGAAATTGAAGTATTTTTTTGTTTGCTTGAAGAGATTTGCATAATACGCTATGGAACAACCGTAAAATGTGTCCAATGCCGTCTGTTGCCCTCGTCCGTATTGCTCCTGCTTTTGGTGGTTGCTGTGAGTCTTCGGAGGACGGATCCCATCCCTTGCCGATGGCGGCAATGTCCTGAGCCAGTCCTTGTCCCCGGTGTACGCGTGTGTGTGTGTGTAATTTCATTTCGTTTTCGTTTCAGTTTTTTTGCTCTGTTGCTTCCTACTTTTATTGTTGAACTTTTACAGCTGCCGCTCTTTCGCCTTGCATTCGCAGCTCCGCTCCTGCTACATGCCAGGAAGGGTGGTTGCTGGGGTCGTCCGGCGTCTGCCTCACTGCATTGCCTGCCACTGAAAGTTAAATTTCCACCACACTCGCATATCGTGTGCGTCTGGCTTTTATCCTTTTTTGGTCTGTCTGGTCGGGCTCCGAGTCTGGCCACCCCCAGGCCCAGAACCAGGAGCGTTAGGGAAAGTGTCTTGCAAATAAATAAATAGTCATGTCAGCCGTATTATTAATGCCCCAGCGGAAGAGAGGTATAGCAACGTGGTGGTAGGGCGGTGTAGGTGGAGGTGGAGCGGGGACCGTTGATAATCCACCCTCTTAAGGGGGTGCGTCTTACCAATGCCCAATTGCTCTACGCATATTGCTTTGTCTCTTGATTTTGGGGTCAACAAACTTTTGAGCCAGAGACCCGGCCCACACCGACAGTCAATTCTCCCCCAGCATCAGTGCTGCCGCTGGCTGCGTGCGAGTGTGTGCGAAAACTCCACATCGTGCTGCGGACGGGGCACGTTCTACGCATTTTTGTGCATTGACCCCAGACAGACGGCAACGCAACCCTCTTCCACAGCATGTACATATGTATGTACGCACACATACACACGAACACCTTCCACATGTAGATATGAATGTGCGTTATTATGGGCACAATGGCAACCCTATAGCTGATTTGATTTCCGAAAGAGCCGGTCGGAGGGTGGATTGGATTTGAATGTGTCTGTACACCTTTATCGGAAATTGTATGAATTTTTGTTGTATTATTTTTTACGGTTTTATACACCGATGTATTAAAATATGAATTTACATTGCAATGGGTGGGTGGTGGTGGGGCAGCTGAAGGAATCTTCGATTACAACTTTATGCCGTCATAAACTCAAGAAGCGACTTTAATTGTACTCCCCTCTGGGTGGTAAGTGGTAAGCTGGGCTTTTGTTTTAGTGTTATTTTACCTTTGGGGGAGCCTTGGAACATAAAATGGTTTTATTGCAGCCCCCCCCCCCCCCCCCCCCCCCCCCTACTCCTGGTGTCTGGGTGTGGTTTTTGTTGTTGTAAAAGATTGATGTGTTTTAGTTGAATAATTAGGTAGGACAATCATTTCCAGCTCCTGTTCAGTGTTCTGTCTTCCTTTTGTTTCCTCTTCTTGTCCACAAAATGTGCGGAACATCATCACTAAAGGTAATTTACTTTTGTTAACCGTTAGGGGTAGTTTTTCCGAACTTGAGATTCCGTAGGGTCTCGATACCATTTCCCGCCCGCCCCTCAATGAGTATGCGAAAAATTTAACGCATTCAAATGTAAACGGAAAATTGTCCCAAGAAAAGTGTCCTGTAAATGAATCTTTATGGGCCCAGTAAAGAGGGTAAGAATGAGTCGGGTTTGGTATAGGGAAGGGTGGTACGGTTCATGAGTTCGTGGGAATTTTACATAAACTTTGAATAGTTGCTTAGAAAGAAGAGAAGGGTGTTTTGGGTTTGTTTCTGTTTTGCCGGAACAGGTTGGTCTGTGTTATTAAAATATGTAGATATAATTATCATAATGGGTCTGGTCTGCAGGAATCACATGGTTTGTGTCTCTATTTGTATCTGCGGCATCTATCGCAGCTGCGAAATCTTTAACAGAAATACAAGCATACATACACACATGCATGCATATGCTAGCTGCTTGAAGCCCCAGTCGCTCCGTGCTTTTACTCTTATTGTTCTTGGAAAAGAGACCGACGCCAGCATGTGTCTTCTGTTTATTTGCTTTGCTTGTGTCTTTTCCGCTTTTGTTGTACACATGTTTCGGATTCCTTCGTGTCTCCTCCTTTGTGGCTCACGCGCCATCTCGCTCTGGCAGCCTTGAATCTGAGTTCTCATTTTTTTTTTTGCTCCCTCCGATGTTGATCTTGCCTGTTTTCCGTGAGGATTTTATTGAGTTTCTTACTTGCACTTGGTGACGCTCTCCCGCTTCTTTGCTTATTTTGAGCTGGGAGCTGGAGCCTCTCCACTCGAAAAGTTCACACGCTGCTTGCGTCTTTGCATTTTCATTTGCTTTTGACTTTGTTTGGCTTTGTCTTTGGTTCTGTTGTTCTCAAGCCAGAGCCGAATCCAAGACAGCTGATAAAGCAAATGAATCTAGCAATAACGGCTACACGCGCAAGCAAAAACAGAGCAAAAACCAGCAACAGCAACAACATGTACCCAAGATACATTCAAGAAACGGGGTGAGGCAGTCCAATTGAATGAGATGGTGCAAAAAAACAGTACAATAATGACAGTGCATGATTCAAGGGGAGTGAGTGAGTCTGCCTCACCTTCATTCGATATGCTTTAAGCGAACCGTCTCGAGTTCGCATTGAAACACTGATGTGGAAATATTCAGAGTATTTTAGAGCGCTAAAGCTGAAATGTAGTATTTGTACATATTTTTCCTTTGCTGATAAAACAAAGCAAATGCCGTTGTTAAGTGTAAAAAGAGGGGGTGATGGCCAGTGAGTCGCATTCAGCCAGCACATACATACATATGTACATACACATATTCCTATCAATTCTTTTGGTGGTGTTGCTGCTGGTCTGGTGTTCCTCTTGTTGTTGCTTCGAAATAGAAATGATTTCACAATTTACTTGTGCTTCTTTCGAGTCTTTCTTCCTTCTAACATTCCCCCT